CAGAAAAGTCAATGTCATACCACACGACCTTGTCGCATCACACTGCTTGGTCCTGGGCTGGGGCATCGAAGTGAAGAAGGAAATGTTCTGTACACAGCAAGAGTGTTCTCTGGTTTGTAGCTGATGATGTACACAATGTACATCTGATGTTCTCACAGCTTGTAGGCTGAGTTAACATTGTTTGGAGCTGTCGAGGTTGGCCATGCTGACAGAGAATGGTAACCCTTCGTAGTTGAAGTGATGTTCAGCGCCCGAGCTCGTAGGACAGCACACATCAACGACTGCAAGCATGTAGCCAGTCGATCGATTGGGTGTGGTCCAGACGACAGCAGGGAAAGTGCTTGACTCTCCTCCAAACAGACTGGTGTACGGCCAGAAGTCTATAACACTTAGAAAAGAGTATCAGACCACGAACAACATGGTACAATTTAAATTTGAGAAAACTGTAATGTATACAGACATATTAACAATGTCAGCATTGACATATTTCTAGAACAACATTTTTAAACAGTAACATAATTTTAGATTATGGTTATCTAAATATGTATAACTTATAACAGGTGCCCTTGTCTCTTGAAGAAACTTGTCATATATCTATATCCATGAGCAGGTATAATACAACAAAACCACTTTGTACTGTCCATGCAGTACAAATGTATAAGAAGTACTGACTAACAATATTCAGTATATGCTTTGTAGGTGACAACAGAAGAACGAACAATACATATATAACTATGTGATGGACTGAGAGCATACATTGAAACACGGAGAGTAATAGAATGTTGAAAGTACTATTGAAGATGTAGAAGTTCAATGGGAGAGTAAAGTAATGTAACATAATTTACTGTATCAAGTAACCATAATATGAATGAATACTATATTGTCGCTGCAATGAATTGTCCATAATAACTAAGTAGGAAAAAATGTTCTCCTTGTGATTCAATATTTGTAAAGGAGGAGAAGATGTTGCTTTCTTTAAACATAGAATAGGAGACAACATTAACTTTAAACATGGAGCATTTTTTGGATAATAATATTTTTCAAAATCAAAATAATTTTGTAATCTACTATATTTGCCGTAACCTACAAACAAGCGCTTATAACGCAAACAAGTGACTGGTCCGTAAACAGTGTTGAAATAAATACCCAAATAGAGGTACCCCGGTAATTTGGCTATATTGCGCTAAGCGACTTCTACTCTGGAACTAAGAGATAGATATCAACCATATTTGGTTGGAAGCATCCCAAGATGGTGGGAATTCAAAATTGCACAATTGGTGGGGCTGAGGAGCGGGACCAGATAGGGGTATATTGCTTTAAGCGACTCTTCTCTGGAACTAAGAGATAGATATCAACCATATTTGGTTGGAAGCATCCCTAGAAGGTGGGGATTCAAAATTGTACAAATGGTGGGGCTGACCCCACAAGAAGCTGATGGGCGGGGCCAAATAGGGGTAATTTGGCTATTTTACTTTAAACGTCCACTTCTCTGGAACTAAGAGATAGATATCAACCATGTTGGGTTGGAAGCATTCTCTGGTGGTGAGGATTCAAACTTGTACAAATGGAGGGGATGACAACCCCCAGGGGGCTGAGGGGCAGGGCCAAATAGGGGTAATTTGGCGGTATTGCTTTAAGCAACTTCTTCTCTGGAACTAAGAGATCAATATCAACCATATTTGGTTGGAAGCATTCTCCGTTGGTGAGAATTCAAAATTGTACAAATGGAGGGGCTGACCCCACAAGGGGCTGAGCTGAGGGGCAAAATAGGAGTAATTTGGGGTTATTGTTTTAAACTACTTCTTCTCTGGAACTAAGAGATAGTTATCAACCATATTTGGTTGGAAGAATTGTCCAATGGTGGGGATTCAAATCGGAGAAATGGAGGGTCTGAGCCCTACCCCTACATCCCCGGACTAAGGGGCTGGGCTAAAGAGAGTTTATAACTTAGACACAGTTAAGATCCCCACTGTATAACCATATGTACAATTGAAAGTATAATGAGAGGAAGGCACATATGCTACCAGGACTGGCCCTTCTGTTCATCTGTTCGGCAATCCCAAAGAAGTTAGAACCTTGACCATAACATGTAAACTGATATCATCCACACCCTAAAATGAAGAGATACATTGTATACATTTGTTTGTTTTGAAGAGAATAATTAATACCTTTAATATGATTTATCCTGGATCATAACATGGAAACGGTTCAGATCTTTATGCTACATTTGTATCTAGAGAAATACATGTTCATGCTGAATGCAAATGTATATTTTGTCATGATTGCATTAATATCCAGGTGAGCGATACAGGCCCTATGAGCCTCTTGTTTAGTTTCCACCTTTGTTATTTACTTACTTTTGTTGGTTTTTACAGATATATATATGTGATCTCTGCTTCATAACATTTATTCACTTGATAAAGGAGTAAGTATATACTCCGAAACGTTGTGTTCCTCATAATAAAGACACCAGTGAAGATCCGGGTTAGAATAGGGCTTCAGCAGCCCATGCCCGCCGTGAAAGGCAACTTTGCTTGTCGTAAGTGGTGACTAATGGGATCAGGATCTGACTTGGTTGATGCATGTCATTGTATCCCAAATGCTCATGATGTTAGTCACTGGATTGTCTGATCCAAACTTGATTATTTACAGACAGCCATCATTTAGCTGGAATATTGCTGAGTGTGGTGTTAACTCTTTCAACACCAGTCAACCAGAAGCGTTTACTGCTGTGACGCTGAGTTCCAAGTGACTCTTGTGTGATAGATGAAGCAACCATTTATCAAAGAAAATATCTGCTTGTAAAACATCTTTGCAACAACTTGTTATACACCATTTGAAAGGTCTGATCCTATTGTTTATAGATATGAAAGTTATATTTATCACATTATTTAAATAAGGCATTTACATCTTAATTAAGTTCGTTGTAAATATAAAAAATGTAAGCTGACAGATTGACTAAACATTATTAAGACGGTAAAAAAAATCACAATGGATTAATTATGCTAGGATTAGGAGCCAAACAATATACAAATGTTCTTTTAATCCTAACATTTTCAGCTACTTGGTGATGATATTAAACCTAAAAATGTTTGGAACTCATTATGATAATAATACAGATGGACATATTTTTCAGTCAATTTGTAAAATAACTGAATATTTTGGCGTTTAATAAATTTCCTAAGTGAAAATTTTGCACATTTTAACTGTAAAAATATAAACATGATATATTAAGCAATTCTCAGGTGAAATATTTACTTTGTGTTGCAAGCCAAAATAGTGTAAACGAAAATCGCTCATTACCAAGCATGTGACTGATCAAAACTTTGTCACCATTACCAATGCTACCCACAAAGATACCTACATTTCCTTATTATTTCCAAACCTGTATTTCATTTTGTTGATCAATGTGACCATACGCCCTTATGCTGTCAATAAAAGTGACAAATGCGCTTACAACTGGTGCAGCACAGATCGCGAACTAGTCTAGATTTCTGCCTTATCATCCGGGTACTCAGGGGGGAAAAAACAATAGCAAAGGCAACAACCAGTCCCAGGGAATTACTTTCGATCAGTGACCCTTTAAACATCGTGTGCGAGACAAAAATTTGAGGCGACGAAAGCTGAGATGTCATTTGACTAACATTACACACGATCGAACGAAAAGATGGAATTAATAACTTAGATGTTATTGTACGTTTGACAACTTTTAGATATATTTTTGTTGATTTTATTTACCACTTTGTATATTATATTTAAAGATTTGCTTGAAACGTCTTTAATTTGCTCTTTGACATGTTCGATGTGGACCCGTTGTCGTGTGTCAAAGAATTTTATTTTCAGTAACATTGCGGGAAATAGTAAATAATTTTTAACCGATTGATAAAAAATGATAAATTGAAATGGAATACGTATCTCAGACATTGTGAAATGTGATAGATTTAATAAATGAATGGTATGACAGGTAGGTTCTTTTTTAATATATGCTATTTTGACGTGACTACGGCATGAACGGTTAACCGGCCTACAGTGTCTGGGGACTCGATGCTTCTTGGTCGGTATACCGGCCTATGGTGTTGAAAGAGTTAAAAAAGCAAACAAATCATTATAAAGAAGTTGACATCCATTAATTCTCTGAGATAATATGTTATATCTTTTTGTACATACTTAACAAGTCACACACTTGCCATTTTGTTTGTATAGACATATACCACTGCCTCCAAATTAGCTGGAACTGAATATTAATTTTTCATTGAGATTGATTTTGGAAAATTAGAATGATGGAGGCATTGCAGCATTTATTTTTGAATTGTAAACCTTTTCCTGCATTTTTATGCAATTTAACCAAATTCAGTACTAACGTTTATGGGATATGTTGCATGGTGTACTGTTGTATGAAATGTGCACCACACAGCTTGATACTGAGCAGGGCACACTCTAAAACTTACATGATATCTCTGTTATCCATATTTCACAGTGACGTTATATCAGTATTAACTTCTGTTGTTCACTTGTTTAGTAGTTATTAAATCAAGGACATAACTGCAGGGCAGCAACTGCATGAAAATGTACGCAGGGTTTCACCTTGACTTACAAAACTGGGGGTGGAGGGGACCCCCAGTAATTTCTTTTAATGGTCTTTGCGATATATGTGGCAATATGAGGGTCCTGTAAATTAATGAAATGGTGTAGTGTACTGTATGTTTAGATAATTACTTTTGAGCCTGTAATGAATCAATGATCATGTGGACAGTGGTCATGATTGATGGTTGAAATAACAGACAAACACAACTGCTCTTGATGTGCTGTTCTCTACATTTGTGCGTACATGATGCACATTTGTGTGTTGCGTAAAACCCTGATCTATGTATTCCTGAAGCAATTCATTTTCTGTAAAATATTAACATTGGCCAGCAGCTTTGTGAAATATCATTCCTATTAAATGTAATCACTATACATATATATGTACTATTAGACTCCAATATCTTTATCATTTTCAGCTCTCAAGACACAGGTGGACAAATATTCAGAATCAGTTGATCCCATGATAAAAATGACCACAAACTTGAAGTCACAGGTAGGCATTGTTCTTAACAAATCCATACACAGTTAACAGTGCTGTATTTACTAAGCTGCTGCCATTGCCATACTTGTTTTGAAACCACATGAAATTTTACACACTGATGTGCCTGGTCATGATTTAAAATGAGTTCATTTTTTACAGAGTTATTGTCTTTGTACCATGCTTTTCAACTTAAATTGGTCTCGTCAGTTTTTTTAGGTTTGTTTTACAGTTTACGGCCCTTGATCCATTTTATTTTACTTGGTGTAAAGTGTGTGCAATGAGGACATGTTTTCTCAGAAACTACCTAAGTAAGCTTATCTCGGAGATATCAAGGTCCAAGTGCCTGCCTCTTCTTAAAGCTATGAAGCCTATAAAGGACTATAAAGGACTTTTTTATCGTTAATATTCGCTCCTTTTTGAAGAAATAAAATTCCAATGTGCCTCATGGCGGGGGATAGTGATAACACTGTTTTCTTGTTAGTTCTGGGAAATTGTTTTTGACACATTGAACAGTCAAGTGAAGGTCAGGCTTATGTTTGAAGTATTTTATGCATTATTAGTGGTTATATTGTTTGACTACTTATATGTATGACAAGTGATGACAAGATTATATCAGTGGTACTGTGACCAACTTTCAATGAAGAGCATATGCTATGTTTTTGTTGTTACTTTTATTCTATCAAGGCCCATCATATTTGGTTTATATGTTTGGCACCCCTTGTTATTTAAATGCTTTTCACAGATATTTAAGGTGAAATACTCAAGGTCATGAACTGAAAAATGTATTATGTCAGTGAAAACTCAACATGTTCCCTCTAGTAGCATGAAATGGGTTGGACATGAAATTTCTAGGATTTGAGTGACCTCCATTGAAGGTAGAGTAACAAGGTCATTTTTGGTCATTATAAAAATTGGTCCTTTTTATGGTCAGTTGAGTAATTCTCAGAAAATGACAATTTTGGATGGAATTTGATCACTAAATAGATTCATTTATCTATGTAAACAAGATTAATCACCTCTAATGTAATTTAATCATATTATAACTTGTTGAAATAATTCCAAATACAGTAAACTCTCTTGTCAGTGGACTGTGACATCACTTTGAGCTTGCACTTTTTCCTGTAAAATAATAATTGTTGTGACCAATTTCAAAACTTTGAACTTATCTTGCATTACTCCTTACTGCATTTACTGCTTGTTCTTGACACAGAAAGAGCTGTGTAAGGTCTTGCTGAAGAAGCAGTTGTTCCAACTGGTTGAGTGGCTAACCATATCACATAGCTCGTCACTGATCAGCACAATACTGACGTCACCTGTTTTGAGGTGTCAGCAATAATACATTGAATCCTTTGCATGTTGTTGTTATTGTTTCTTGTGATTTATATTCTGCTTACGGTTTGTGTCTTCATATATATCTTTTGATTTCAAACATAGCATTAATATTTAAAGCTTGGTGGTGGCATTTGCCACAGTAATTATCAGGCTATTTTTGTTCCGATTAGCTGATATTACCGTTATTAAAGTGATGTTTTTTTTGCGTTCTTTGCATAAGCTTATTCAGAAACCCACGTGGCTGGGATTGAGATTATAGCATACATAATTGGGTGGGAAGGTATTTTGATTACACTCAGCTATCATTGCAAAAACATACAAAATTGTAACAAGTGCACGGATCTCAGTGTGAGTTGGACCCTCATCGCTTGTGTCTCAGTTGAACTACCCTGTGCTCCTAGGCTACTAAGTGTAGAGATTGTCTGCCACTTTCCCCTACAGCTTTCTCGAAATACCCAGCAGTCCCGGAAACACAGATTAAAGAAGATGTCAGCTTCATCCGAGCCTACTAGACCCCCACCAGCCATGACCATCTCTCGCTCAGGCGGGAACCCTCCAGCGACCACTACACTACATATGTCTTTGTCGGGGATAACATCCTCCATCTCATCGCCTGTACAGATCATGCCCTCCATCGTTGATATGATGCTGATGCTGATATCTTTCTTCCCTTCAGCGTTGATTTACTCTGCCTCATCCTCTTAGGTGACGCCTGGCATGGTGCCGACGACCCTGAATCTTCCCTCTCACAGGCTATCTGAGGCTCTAGTGGTGCCGGCACTTCAGTCACCTACAGGACATGCAGCACCTGCCCAGACGCTTAGGGTGCAGACGATGATCTAGCAGGTGATGGCTCCGTTTCAAGCTCCTCTGGCGCCTTTGGCTTCTACGACGCTCTTGGAGCCTCCAGTGCCAGTGGCGCCTATTGCGGCACCTCCTGTGGATCTCAGTGGCGCCTCTACAGTTCACTCTTCCCAATCACGTGCCTCTGTCTCTCCTGGTTCTTCATCAAGGCATAGCGGAAGCAGGTTGTCCCATTCCAGATGCTGCTCCAGGAGCCGCGCTCTGGTTCCGTGCTCTAGAGACTACCACTCTGACTCGTCTGAGGACTCTTTCGTCCCTGCATATGATGGCTTTTTCTTGGATATGGATTTCAGTATCGTCCTTAACCAGGTTCCTGATTGTTTAATGGATTGCTCTGTCTCAAGGACCTGACGTGGATAAAAAGGACACTGCAGGGTCAATCCCAAGTCCATCCCTCTGGATCCGTTGATCAAAGATATGATCACAGCATTAGATGAGGATTTCTCTAAGTTTACTTACTCCCTCTTTCAAGGCGCCCAAGTACAGGGAATTGGCACCAGATGACAGGGTCCAACCGCTCTAGGACTATCCGTGTACCGGATGCCAGAAAACGTCCGTTATGTTTAGAGAAAACGTCCTCTGGTCACGCTAACTTTATTTGTTGTATATTTTTGCTGGAATATGATTAAGTAACATTAAGTGAATATGGTATGACATGATGTTGTTTAAAGATGAGATGTTTGAGATTAAATAAAATAGGACTATCAAAAAGACTCACTACAAAATGGTTTCCAATCAATGTGTAAATACTTGTTGTTTTCTGAAAGGAGATAAGCAAGATGAGATCTCAATTAATAAAGGATTAAAATATTTCTGAATAAAGATCAAGGTAATTTAATTGAAGCCATATAAAATGCGAAGTATATATAAACTCAGAAATTCAATATAGAATCATTCTTCACTATGAGACCTCTAAGTGTTCAGAGTATGTGTCAGGAGATACCTTCATCAGCAGTACATCTCTTGTGATGTCTGTGATGAATGGGCACACAGATATTCGTTGTACTGACATATCAGACGGCTTCGTCTGTTCTAAATGTAGCAATCAGCCCATTTACGAGAGCACTATCATAGAAACATCTCAAGTTGCTGAAGCCATCACTTTTGATATGACTTTAGATAGCACAATAGTAGAGGTCTCTGCAACTGAAACTGTGCCAGACATATCCTAGTTCCCTTTGAAGATGTTGAAGATGCAGAAGAAAGGTATAAAATAATAGTATTTTGAATTTAAACATCGATTTAAACATCAATTAACAAATGTATAACCATATATAGAATACAATAAATAGTAATATTTCTGAACGATTAATGAAATTTCTCTCTTATTGACCAGTTGCTGTTTTCGCGGGCTGACGTTTTCTCTATAACCCGATACAAGTGGTGGAATCTGATTGGTCAATAGGAGAGGCATAGAAGGGACACAATTCATAATAACCACTGGTGGCGCTATGATCAAGCCCAGAAATTCCAGCCTAGTTCAGCAAGGTGGAAACAGACGTCTACCCCCTACATAACAGCAGCTCCTTCTCTCAAACATCCACATGTTGCTGGCAAAAGAAGCCATAGAGATTGTCCACTCCCCGTCCCTAACACCAGGCTTCTATTCGTCAATATTCCTTGTCCCCGAGAATGACTCACAATGATCTAAAACCTGGCCACCTTCAACAAGCGCCACCTGGAGCATCCACCATATTTCCGGATGTTCACACTTAGGCTGTTCAGGTCAAAGATCCAGGACAACTACTCAATGATCAGCCTAGATATCCAGGATGCCTACCTGCATGTGCCGATCCATCCAAGCGACAAGGAAATTCCTCTGTTTCATCTCAAATGGAATTCATTATCAATGGGTGGTCTTCCCATTTGGAATTTTCTTGGCCCCTTGGCTATTGACAAACATCACCAAGCTGATAGCCACTTCCCTCCATCTGAGGAATGTCAAATTCAGTGCTAACATTGACAACTGCCTTCTGAACTATCAGGACATGGCCACACAAGGCCTCCTCCATCACCTGGGATGGATCATCAATGAGTGCAAATCAGAGCTCACACCTTCGTTCAACCTCCAATTCATAGGCAGCCTCTTCCAGATCGACCGAGACCTCCTCTCTGTACCAAGGACTACCACCTACTCCCAGCAACCTTGTACCCTTCGCAAGTGGCAGGCGCTTCTGGTTCAACTCACATCAGCGCAATACTTGACCTCCAGAGGAAGGCTTGAACGTCATAGATGGTGTTTCCTTGACAGAGCCCACGACCTCATTACCCCTCTGTTCAAGGCTGGGGAGCACATCTGGAGGGCCAGGTCACCTCGGAGCTGTCTTCTGCTGCTCAGCACCAACTCATTCCAGGTCACCCCAACATCCTTGCTGGCACCCTCTCCAGACCAGACAAGGTGGCTCCCACAAAGTGGAAACTCCACCCAGATGCTTTCAATCTTGTCTGTCGACACCTCGGCTAACCCAACATGGATAACTTTGCCACCAGCCAAAACTTCCAGGTTTGAACCTTCATATCTCTGGTACCGGATCCGCAAGCCTGGGCGGTTGACGCCCTCAGCATCCCCTGGGAAGGATTAAAAGTGTACGCTTTTCCGCCTCCAGTACTACTTCTCAGGGTCCTTCAAAAGATCAGGTTGGCCTGGAGCCTCACTCTGACTTTGATAGTGCCTTGGTGGCATGTGAGGGGCTGGTTCAAGGATCTCAAGATGTCCGCCATCAACCCGGTAGAACTGCCAGATTGACCAAACCAGGTGATCCACCCTTACAGCAACCAGGCCCAACCTGTCTCCAGACAGGTTACATTTTCATGCC